GGGCCAGCCGCAGCTGGGGGTGGTGGGTAGAGGTGGTCGGGGCAAAGAGCAGCAGCTACTAGATGAGGCCAGGAGCTTTCTGAGCAGGAGCAGCTGCCTCTGGAAGGAGCCCTCCTCGGCACTTGTCAGGGGCCTGGTCTTGGGCCTGGCCCAGCGGGAGGTGGACGGAAGGTAGTTCAGGGGTTGGAGCCCTGGCTTGCCCAGAGCCTTGCTTGGTGCTTCTGGGAAGGCAGAGCTGGTCCAGGCGGGGACCCAGGCATACCCATCCTGCTAAAAAAGGGTTGTGCACCTGTTCCTGGTCTGGCTGGGAGAAGGGCAACCTGGCCAGGGTGGAGCAGCAGTTGGGGGCTCTGGGAGTTGGGAGGAGGGCCGCACACATTGCCTTGTGGAGGGGTGTGTGCACTGCAGGGTCGGAACACAACTGCTGGAGCAGGGAGCCTGGCTCGGGACCCACGTTACACCCCAGGAACTCTGTAACCTCGGGCAACTTAACCCCTCACCCCTCTACCCCCACTCCTCATCTGTAGCTGTGGATAATAATGACTGCGCCTCCTTGGGGGCAGTGTGCACTGTGCCTACGAGGAGGCTACCTGGCTCCACACTCTCAGTAAGGGCCAGCTCCTGTTGACCTTTGATGGGCACTGTCATGATGATCTGAGGGCATCCTTGAGTTAGGTCAGCTGTAGACACGTGGACCCTTGCAGAGGAAGGTGCAGTGTGAGCCGAGACCTCTGGGATCCCCAAGGTCAAGGCCTCACAGCTCTGACGTCTGTGCGTCAGAATGAAAAGAAAAAGCCTGCTGGGCAGTGGATCTCTGAACTCCTTGGCCTGGCCTGCAGCCTCTGGGTGCGGGGTCATGCTTTCAGGCCCCAGGGGACATACTAGGAGGTTGCAGTGAGCCCAAGCATGGGAGAACTTGCTGGACGGGGGCCCAGGCCCAAGGCTACTGCTGTGGAATACCCTTCCCTAGCACTTTCCCCACACCCCGAAGGTCTGGCCACAGTCTCCGGAAGCATCCCGGTCCTGACTGTACCAGGTGTCTCTTGGGGCCTTCTCTGAGGACTAGGGAAGCACATGTGAAGTACGGGGCATGAGTCCACTGAAGGTCCTTTCATCCCAGAGCTGTCACCTAGTGATGACCTAGCCCGAGGTGAGGCCTGGAGGATGGCATGGATATGGAGTTAGGGTGACATCCTTTTTGCACGAGTTGCTCTGTGGGGCCTGTTGGCAGGTGTGTGTGGCTCCTGGGCTGGGTGCTGAGAGTCCCGGGCTGGGTGCTGGGAGCCCCGGGCTGGATGCTGGGAGCCTCGGGCTGGGTGCTGGGAGTCCCGGGCTGGGTGCTGGGAGCCTCAGGCTGGGTGCTGGGAGTCCCGGGCTGGGTGCTAGGAGCCTTGAGCTGGGTGCTGGGAGCCCCAGACTGGGTGCTGGCCAGCGGCTCTTGCGTGCTGGGAGCCCTGACTGGGTGCTGGGAGCCCTGGCTGGGTGATTGGAGTCCTGGGCTGGGTGCTGGGAGCCCTGGCTGGGTGCTTCCTGGGCTGGGTGCTGGGAGCCCTGGCTGGGTGCTGGGAGCCCTGGCTGGGTGCTGGGAGCCCTGGTTGTGTGCTGGGAACCCTGGACTAGGTGCTGGGAGCCCTGGGTGGGTGCTGGGAGTTCTGGGATGGGTGCTGGGAGTCCTGGGCTGGGTGCTAGGAGCCCTGGCTGGGTGCTGGGAGCCCTGGCTGGGTGCTGGGAGCCCTGGACTGGGTGCTAGGAGCCCTGACTGGGTGCTAGAAGCCCTGGGGTGGGTGCTCGGAGCCCCGGGCTGGGTGCTGGGAGCCCTGGCAGGGTGTTGGGAGCCCTGACTGAGTGCTGGGAGCCCTGGCTGGCTGGGAGCCCTGGCTGGGTGCTGGGAGCCCTGGCTGGGTGTTGGGAGCCCTGGGCTGGGTGCTGGGAGCCCTGGGCTGGGTGCTGGGAGCCCTGGCTGGGTGCTGGGAGTCCTGGGCTGGCTGTCCCTTGCTCCCTGTCCCTTGCTGTCTCCAGGTCTTCACTGGAATAAGCCAGTGGGCCTTCTGCTGATGCTAGGGTTAGTAGGGGCCTAGAGCAGGGGCCTAGAGCCCTTTTCTGGCTGTTCCTTGTCACATGTGGCCAAGTCACGGAGCCTCAGTGTCCTCATCTAGAAAGTGGAAGACGGAGCAGTTACAGATTCCCCCAGCTCTTCACTGACTAACCGTGGTTCTCAAAGAAGAACCTTCAGAGCATGGGGAGGGTGTTTTCCTCAAGAAGGCAACGCAGGCCATCTGAATGGGCAGAGAGGACCCACGTTACGTTCAGAGTGCTGTGAGAACAGCTGCTGTCTGAGGGCCGAGCAGAGCCTGATGGCCTCAGATTACAGGGACTTCAGGACTGAGGGTCAGGTCAAGTACAGCTTGGAGCCACCAAGGGTGGGAGGAGTGAGGCTTCTTGGAGGGCAAGGAAGAGACCTGGGGTGGTGACCCAAATGACCCAGATTCTGATGCTCTGTATTTGTCCACTGATGGCTCTAGGGTGACCCCTCGGCATCAGGGTCTCTGCACCCTTGTCTATGAGAGGGGGCTTCCCCACAGTCCTCAGCCTGTACCCTAGGCTGAGATCCAGGCATGGCAGTGACTATGGAAGGGGTTTGGAGCAGAGGGCCAGCCCCAAGGCAAGGCCGGCTTTCCTGAGTCGTTGGGCTCAGCAGCGCCCCCGCTGGCCCGGCTGTGATCCTTCGGTACAGACAGTCAATATGGGACCCTCCCTGCTCTGGAAGGCAGTGTTTCCCCCCTGCTGTTTAATTTCTGTTTTTGCTGGAAGCCATTGAGCTGCCTCAGCACTACCCTCACCAAATTCATTTTTCATGGCCTGGGCCTAAGAGGGTTTCCTCGTGCCAGGCCTGGAAATGCACACTGTACCGTCTCTGCCCAAAATAAATAGCCTCCTTGCTGTGTTTTCATTACGCTCACCCTCCGGGCGAGGTGTCTGGCAGGCCACGCGCCAGCTCGGGTGCCCTGCCCCTGCCTCCCATTGGCGTTCCTTGGAGGTGCAAGTCTCTCCCAGGGCTTCCGAGCTGTGCTGGAAGAATGGCCCCTTCTTCCCCAGTGACACCAGATACTGTTCTGGACCCTGATGGTGGTTTCTGGCCCGGTTGCCTGCCAGAATTTGCCTCTCAATGCAGGCACGTTGCCGTGTGGTCTTCCATGGCTTGGCAGCTTGAATTTGATGAGATAATTTCAATAAATATTTTTTAAAAAACAAGATGGAATATCGGTGCCATTCAGTTGTGTCCTGGCAAGGACAGGGAGCCCCACACAGGGTGTGTTTCCCCCGTCTCTACAGAGGGGCACATCCAGGCCTTGGGGCTCCTTGAGGGTGTGCCAAGGACGGGAGGGGGGGGAGTGCTGACACAAACAGCAGTGACAGTTCCCCATATTTAACAGAGTCAGGCCTACGGGGGCGCTGTGTCCATCACTTCAGTGGAGTCCTGCAGGTGGGCGGGCATCGCGGGCGTGGCAGAGTGGCCGAGGCTTCCCCACGGCAATGCATGAGTCCATGCAGAAGTGGGTGGGCATTCCAGGAGGGAAAACTGAAATTGGGACAGGGCTGTGGTTTCCCTAAGGCAGCAGGATAGTCTGTCGTAGGGCTGTAACAAGAGTGCTGGGTGCCCAAGTCTCCCGGACCCGTGAGCCCCCACTCCTGCTGTTGGCAGTTGTTGTCAGCCCTTCTGCAGACACTGTCTCGTAAGACGCGCACCGTGACCCAAGGAAATACACAAGACTGGTATTCATTATCCTCGCTTTGCAAGTGGGGAAACTGAGGACGATAGAAGTGAAGAGACTGGCCTGAAATCGCAGAAGTAAGATGAGATGAAGTTGATTTGAGCGTTGTTTTTTTTTATTCATACTTTTAATTCCTTCTAAAACAAGATTTGAAGTTGGGACCAGCTGTTAGTGTAATGGCTATGTCGCTGGACTCCCACGTAGTCGACCACGGTTTGTGTTCCAGACCTGGTGGCTTAAGACTCACGCCGAGCGTGTGTGCGTGCGTGCCCAAGATCCCGAGAGGAAAACGGAGAAGGGATTGAGGCGTGGCCATCCCCCCTAGGGGGTGATTTCTCACTTTCTGTCTCTCTGTCTCTCTCTCTGTCTGGCAAGCGCATGCATCCTATAGCAAAAACCTCTCCAAAAAAGAAAGATTTGAAGTTGCTTGTTTAAAAACAAAATGTCCTCAGGGCTCTCGAGAGCTTCCGCACAGTGAAATTGCCCTCTGGGCCTCTGCACATGCGTCTCCTCTGACCTGGAACAGCATTTCCTTCTCTTATTCTTTCTTGTTCCTCCCGTGTCTGTTTAGAATCACTTCCTTCAGAAAGCCTTCCTTGACGTCCCCTCCCTAAACCCTAAGTCCTCCCTGGGTATTTCCAGAGGAGCCTACATTTCCAGCATGCCAGAGCCTCTTCCCCATCCTTTCAAGTTGCTTATTCATTTTCTCCCCTGAGTTACTTCCGTAAGAGCACGGGTCCTTGTCCACCGTTTTCACTAGTATAGCGTTAGCAGGTGGTATCTTCTTGGCACAGAAATTTCACTCAGCAAATCATTTTTAATGACTGATTAAATTACTGGATGAACATAAAGACTATTTTGAGGAAAAGAAATTTTATCATAAGTTTGAGCTGTAGTAGCTACCAGAGTGAAACACTGTATTTGGTGCTAAGCTTCCTAGCAGCCAAGGCAAAAATGGAAATATAACCAATTATATAATTCTCATGGACTCTTTCAGGAGAAACAAGCTTATTATTATTTTTTCTTTCTCTCTCTTTCTGGCTTGAAGTCTAAAAAGAAACTGATCACTGACTATTGTAACAGGCAGCATCTTCAAGCATAGTCCACTGCCCCTGATGGGCTGAGCAAGGTGGGGGTGAGGTTTCTCCAGGGAGCGAAAGTGTCATGGCCCCTGCCAGTAGGTCCAACCTGCTGGGCTCATGGGTAGGCAGGCTGTGCGACTCCAGTCACATCAGACTCTCAGCTAATGCAGGTGACGCACCCTCTTCTCGCTGCTGTAGAAGCATGAGCTTGATCTTCACAGTGACCCAGTGGGGTAGACTAGGGTTATTATTCCTCTTTGCAGAGGAAAAGAGTGAGGACAGAGGAGTTCAGTAACATTCCATGATTACACAGCTAGGGGTGGCAGAGCCAGGATTTAAACCCAGGCAACCAGGCTCCAGGACATGGGCTCCAAACCAGAGCCAGACTGAAGGGCTGAGGAGGGAGTGAGGCATTTGCTTTGGGTGCCATTCTACAGGAAGGTACCAAAAACACAGAAATCAGTATATTTTTCTTTTCTTTTTTTTTGGAGAGGTTTTTGCTATAGGGTGTGTGTGCTCACCAGAAAGACAGAGAGAGGCGGAGAGACAGAAAGTGAGACATCACCCTCCAGGGGGGATGGTCATGCCGCAATCTCTCCTTCTCCATTCTCCTCTCGGGATCTTGGGCACGCACGCACACGCGCCTGGGATGAGTTTAAGCCACCAAGTCCGGGACTCGAACCGCGGTCGAATATATGAGAGTCCATCAACACAGCCATTATGCCATCTGCTAATCCCAGAAATCAGTATATTTAAAAAAAAAAAAAAAACCAAAAAACCAAAAAAACAAAAAAACAAAAAACTCAACATGAATCCTCTCAATATTCATGATGAATAAAATGTCACTTTTTAAATTGAAACATTTTGAAATATTGAAGTGTTCTAAAAAGACATGCGCTCACACTCGCCCAGCCAGTCTCCCTTGCCTCCCCCTGTTCTTCCCGGTGCTCCATGCCTGCTCTCTGCCACTCTCAGCATGCCCAGTCCTCGGAGTAAGGGGCCTGGGATGAGATGCGCACCCTGGAGTCCCATGGTGCTCCCACGTCAGGCCCCCATGGTCCGCTGTGTGACCTCTGCACGTTGCACAGTGCCTGAGCCTCCTCCCCCCATGGCAGAGGGCGGCAGGATAGTACCTACCCCAGGTCCATCAGAGGGTCCCTGCCATAAAGCCCAGAAGACACTGGCACCACAAGGCCACCTGCTGTGAGCACTGCCGACTCCTCCTGTGAGCGGTGACGGCTCCCCGGGTGTGGACGTGCCTCGGGGCGATCCCTGTGTCACTTGTACTTTGCTGCCATCACCACTCAGGCTGGTGTGCCCCCAGGCTTCAGGGGGAGTGCCTGCTGTTCCCCGGGGTGTGGCCCACAGAGGTGTCCTGGCTGAGAGGAGGGAGGTGCTGCCTGCAGGATGCTCACTGCTCTCTCCCCTCCCAGTTCGAAGCAGGCCCCTACGGATGCATCCTGCTGACCCTGTCGGCCATCCTGTCCCGGTCCACGGAGCTGTGAGTATCCTCCTCCTGCCACTGCAGGCTGGGCCGCTCTGTCTTGCTCACTGGTGGCTCCCCGGAGCCCAGAGCAGTGCTGGGCATCGGGGGGGTGGGGAGCTCGGGGAATGTTGTAGAAAGAAAGAATAAAGCAGTGGGGTCGGGTCGTTTGGCTGATGGATGACAGCTAGCAGTCACATTCTATATAGACACGCTTCCGGCTGTGCTGGGGACAACCCGAGACACCGCCCTGCCATTGGTGAGTTTTCAGAGACTAGGGTGTGTGCACACATGAGCACTCCCAGGACCTCCTTTAGACACGCGCAGGGGAGGGACCACTGAGGCCGAGACTGGGAGGTGACCTAGGGACTTGCTGGTGCCCTGGACAAGGATGAAGTGGGCTTCCAGGGCCAGCCCTGAGGAGAGGAGAGGAGAGGGTGGGTGGGCAGGGTTGTTGTAGGCAGGGAGAGGCAGGTGGGTGCTGGCCCCGAGTCTCCCTGCCTAGCCTGTCGGCAGCATCTCCGACTCCGAATGCTTCCTGATCAAATGGGGCCCTACGCTGCCCGAGAAGTGGACTCCTCCTGGAAGCTCATTCTCTAAGAGCTTTCTCGGCCTCTTGTTTATCTGAATTTGTCGCCTGGGTGTAATGTCCCCGGGGGGGAGGGGGGTAGCAGAAAGTACAATTGATTGCCCCATACTCTTCCAAACAGGTGCAAAGGTCTCCGGGCACAGCGGCCTGGAAAGTGAATCTTTCCTTGGGCTGTGTGTGGTGGGGGGCCTGGGGCAGTGGGGGACAGACAGTAGCCTTGTGTGCCCAGGTGGGTGAGGCCCTGCCCCTGCAGAAGGAGACACATGTTCCCCCACTCTGGCTGGGCCTGGTTGGGCCCTGTCCCTTTCTTCGGGGGCCCCTGCTGCGGGCGGGAGGAGGACGGCGGGGCTTCTGCGGCCTCGTGCGCCGGCCTGCCTGCTGCCTGCTGCCACTGACCTTATTAAACGTGAGTGCGCACAGCACTCTGTAATGGCATTCTTCTTCTAATCCTGCCATAATGATACGATTCATTCCTGGCGCGGCTCACGTGCGTGGAGACCATAAGCTGCACTGCCTTCTGCCCAGGCCTGGGTTCACTAATCCCCAGGCTGACGGGGCAGGTAGGGGTCTCCTGGTCTTGCTCAGGGGAGGCTGCGCCCTCAGGAGGGCCAGGCCTCAGCTTCCCCATCTGTACAGGAGACACCCACTCTGGCTCTAAGGGTCTTCCCTGGTGGGCACTAGGACAGCTCGGGAGCAGAGCACCTGCTTACAAGTGTGTTCCCATTGGTAGTACTCCCCTCGCCAGGGGCCTCCGGGCCCCACCTCAAGGCCTCTTCACCTGTGCAGAGCTGGAGGCCCAGGGCTGCTCCTGCCCCACACCCGAGCCCTGCCCTGATCATGGTACTGTGGCCACTGGTGTGGGAAAGCCTGTCCATGGGGCCTGCACAGCCTCATGCTAATGGGCGTGAAGTCACAGCCCCACAATATGTGTGCATGGACACAGACACACACAGACCCACAGACACACATGGATATGCACTCATGGATACAGCCACATAGACACCGTGTACATACATGTGTGTGACAGACATAGACACGCACATGGCTATCCATATTCTGACACACATGGACATGTGGACATACATGGACACACAGATGTATCTGCACACACACACACACACACACACACACACACACACGCACACGGTGCAGCTGATCCCCAGGGCCCCTAAGGACCTCCTCCGGATCCTGCAGGCAGTTGGCTTGGGCCTGGGGGGTAGCTGCTACCTTCAGAGGGCCGGGTTAGAGACCTGCCTTAGTGTCAGGCCTGGCTAGGCATGTGCTGGTGTCCTTTCACCCGTGGTCTCCCTGCTCCCCTGAGGAGACGTGGTAGAAGAACGTCTTGCTGACAGAGCAAGGGCGATCAGCACTTGTGAAGCGCCTTGTCTGGCCCTGCCTGTTTCACACGGGGACCTCCTCGCATCTCCATAGCGGCTGGTCGGGTGGGCGGGGTGATCCCTCACACCCTCAGGTTTCCAAGTGAGCAGACAAGGTGCAGGCTTGAGCAGTTAGCCCTACCCTTACCCAGCATATGGGACGCGTAGTCCCAGAGCCCCCAGGCAGCCTGATCAGAGCTGGCTCCCTGGGTCTGTTTCAGGTGAGGAATGGGGCAGGCTTGGGCAGCCTCTGCTGCCTTGGGCTCCTCCAGATCCTCGCTCCCTCTTCCCACTTCCATGGACTGTCAGAGATGTGTGTGTCCCAGGAGAGCTGCCCACGTGGCCTGGGGAGCTTACC